CCACTGCTCTCATAGCCCTCAAAGATTTTTCCATAAACCAGATTTTAAAGAACTCCTAAAGGGAGCAAACTATTGGGGGAAAATGAATATTGTTGATAGACAGGCAGAATGAAAATTAATGATGGTTGATTCAAAGGATAATATTAGGGGAATTGAAGGAAGAGTAAAAGAAAAATGTATTCTTTAGATTACTTACCACATGCTGTATGCTTCTTCATTTGTTAGTCTGTCATCATTATTTCCTTTATAAAATTATTCAGCCAAATGTGGAAGTGGATTAAGTGATTTTCTTGGAGCCTGAGGAATCAGTGGATTGGCTTTATGATTAATGGTCACGCTCTTGACGACTGTTCTGTGAGCCAAGTCAAAGGAAAGACAGAAAAGTTGTCTGAGTGCTCCCGAGTTATACTCCTCAACAGACTCCATGAAACTACTTGCATCTCCAGACATTACTGTTTCTGCACAGGCTCTTGACACTCAGAGTGGAAGATGCAAAATAGCAAAATTTATCGTCTTTGTTCTCACTCCTTTCAAATCTCTGTGTTCAAATATTTTTTATTTGATGGAGTGAGAATTGACTTCATGAAGAGTACAATCTGCAACTTTCATGAGAAATTTTTCCCAGTATTTTCTGCCACGAGGGAAGAGATCTTATCAGCTAATGCTTGTTGAAGTGATTGTGACTAAAATGAGTTTAATTTATCTAGTTTGTATTTACGGTAGTATTTAAAACAACAGAAAACATTATCTCTCGTAAGATTTTAGAACAATGCTATCAAAAAAGAGAATTTGAGCATTTTCATGTTGCCTTTTACCTATCTGTGGATAAACCTGAGGAAAAGATAAGGTTTCCTTTCCCATATTATTGGCTACTTGATTTATATGAAAATTAAATGTGCTTTCTTTATAGTTATATCAGAACAGCAGTTACAGTATCATACAGCCAAATTGTCAGCCTGATGGATCTTCCCTTTTCTTGGCCCTTGAACTCGAGCCCCAATTTTTGCCTTCCTCAGCAGTAAAGAGAAACTGGGAACCAGACTAATAATGAAGGAAATTTTTACCTGAGCTTATTTGAAATATGGAAGGGCAAAATGCATTTGCCTTACCTCAAACCTATAAATGTTTACATTTATTCAGTTAAAATATTAAAAATTTTATGTGTATGGGGCTTTTGCCTTCTTGTATGTGTCTATGTACCGCATGCTTTCCTGACCTTGTGAGGGCTGGAGGAAGATGTCAATGTTTGGGATTTGAGTTACAGATGGTTGTGAGCCACCACATCAGTGCTAGGAATCTGGATCTCCTGGAAGAGTAGTCGGTGCCCTTAACTGATCAGTCATCTCCAGATCCATTTGTTCATTTTATAAGTGTTTGTCTCATGAACCCAAAAGTCGTCTCATGAACATTGCAGTTTGGACTCTTTATGAAGTCAATTTTCACTCTGTCAGCTGGAGAAATTGGAAGAATTAGATCTGGTAATAGTTGTAGATTCACGATCTGATTGCTGAATGGCAAGCGAAATGGTGTAGATAAAGCAGCAGAATTGGGATCTATCACAGCTATTGTGTACCTTCTAGCTCAACTCTGTGGTATTCATAACCTCCATAAGTAGAACTGCCTATCAATCAAAACCCCTGTTAAGTACTGTACCCTTAATAATAGTACAGAAGAATCAGTTGGTGGGTATTTATTGTCCTAAGTGATGACTGTATTGCTCTATCTCTCCCATTCAATGTTAACCAGATACACAATCAATATTATGCAGCATCAGAACGTTACTTCCCTGTTTTTAGGGACTGCAGTTAGTACATGCTGGAGGACAAGATGGAGTGCTAGCATCAGAGCAGATACAGGGAGGAGAAACAGATATTCACACGTGCTATCTAGTTCAGGCAGTCAAACCCTAACATCTTGGCATGGTTTTCCAGACTCTGGGGTGTGAAAAGATCTCTACGTAGTTTTTATGCCTTTGTCTTGCTGCAGTATCTTATCAAGAACTTAATCTACCACTTCGTACTCTGATAATGTACTGCTCCAAACTCTTACTCCCTTGTCCTGGATGATTGCAATGGTCTCCTGTCTCATGCTCTTGGCTCTTTTACCTCATTCTCAAAACAGCAGTCAGAGTGACCTTGACATAGCACAAAGCAGACTAGAGCACCCTTCCACTCAGCATTCCCAAGGTTTTCCATCTCTCTCAAAGGATGTCTTAAAACTCCAGCAGGGTTCTAAGAGCCCTGGTTCTTGTTAGTTCTCCTCCATACATCCCTTACACAGAGTTCAGCCACACTCACTCTGTATGGCTGCTTCTCTTGCTCCCCTCTTTGGAAACTTTAGATTTGTCTTATCTTTCCTTTGAGAGCAGAGTCATTTACCTTCTATTTGATGGTGGGGTTCCTTAGCTGTTACCCAGAAGAACTAATGGGTACTGTACCAGACAGACAGCGCTTGTCTGTGATAGTTTTCCCATAGATAGTTTTCCCATAGATAGTTACCATAGATACTTCCATTCTTCTTCGAGATCTTTAATGGCACTCTATCTAAAATTTCAACACCCTCTGCGTCGTGTACATTTACCTTTTTCTGATTTTACCTTAGCATAAAAATAAATAAATATTATCTATTTCAGTCTATTTTGCACGTATTCTTTGCTACGTATTCTTTCTGCAGATTTCTTATTTGTCCTACAACTATGTGAACTATTTGAGAGCCGGAAACATTTTTGTTTTCTTATATTGTGTCTTATGTTCATTCACTGAAGCATCCATAGGAGCTCAGAATAGTTTTTTAAACATTGTAAGCCACTTAAAAATATAGCATTTGCTAAATGTATGAGTAGGTTAATATTAATAATTTGTATGCTATCTACATGACATGTTGATTTTGGATTTACTGAAACTGCTAAAAAGTGGCAGAGGAATTCACTGCTTCTAAATTCCCTAGTTTTCTATGTTCTGGAATATTCAAGTCCCCATAAGGAACTAATGGGACGCTAGACATACAGATACAACATATCTGCTTAAGTGTTCTTCTTGCTGGGAACACACAGTTTTCATTTTTTAAAAATTATTTGTCAGAAAACAAATCTGAGGTTGTATCATAAAGAAACTCTTTAATCATAAAAACAAAGAAACATTTAAATGTGAAATTTGTCCATAACTGACTTACTTCCAGTTTGAAGCTATTGACATGGCTGTAGCAACCCAGAAGATTTATACACCAATCTTGCCACATAATAAGGGAGAAATCTAATTGACAAGAACATCCTTCTCCTTTAAAGCTATATAGGATTTAACTGTAACCCAGAAAAATAGACAAGTTCAAAAGGCATAAAAACACATGACTAATATACGAGGTAACATGTAAATGAACTATAAAATAGCTTATAAGTAAAAGTTTCCAAATGAATCCCTTTGCAGTAATCATGACTGAACGATTCTGAAAGGAATGGAGGAACATGAACAGTGACACACTACACATTTCATCGAATGCCACTCTATCTATTTAAGGAAATGCTAGAGTTTGGAGTCTGTATTTGAATTTATTTCATTGAATGGCACCATTATCCTGGTTTGTTTTGTGAGAAGATGCTCAAAATTGTACTGGCTTTGCCTGTGGTGCCATGGGCCTGTCAGGGAAGCTGCAAGTCTGCACCGTTAGCCACTCCCATCCCAACTCTGCCCCCACCCCGGAAAGAATTTAAAACTATCAAACTATTACCCCATGATTACCTGCAGGTTAAACACTTCCTTCTGAAGCAGATGGGCAATTGCCAGTGTAATGGCGGGGACTGCTCTCCTGTCTCTCATCCATGGAGCATGCTTTTGATACTCCTCATGCCAGCTAATCACTCCAAGTTCAAACAGTGCCCTGTGCAGCAGGCAGAAGCAGAGTCATTGAGACAGTCAGTCTCTCCCTTGTCCCATCCCTTTCCTTTGTATGGGAAAATTGTTCTATTTTCATATAATTAATGTCCAAGAACAGAGCACAGGGGAATACCACGACAAGATCGTACAACCTCATCAAAATGAAAATCATAACAATATGTAAGATGTAGAACTAGCAAAAAAATTTAGGGCTCTCAAAGCAAATAGTGTCTGTTTTCACCAGTGGCACAAACCAGGATTATTTTCATTAGCCAAAAAGAAAAGATTAACTTTAACTTTGATTTTTAGTTAAAATTTACAATTTACTGTTATAGTACTCTTTTGTGTTGAAACCTGTTTTTAGAAATTTTTTTATCATCTTAAGGTGGAAAATACACAAGGATGCGATATCATGTATACCATGTGTTAAGGCTAAGAGCTATCAGGTTAAAAGGACAGAACTGGGGAGAAGCAAGCTTAAGTTCAAAGTCAGCTTTGGCACTTGGGGTTAGCCCATTTTTAGAATGTTTGAATGTGGATTTCTTCATCTTCCTTAGAAGATTAAATTAAGAATTAAATACAGAAAGCATGTTTGGTACCTTATAGATATTAAATAAAGGAGACCTCCAATTACCAATGATAAATTGTGCAAGCACTATAATTAAAGCTAAAACTTAAAATGACAAATTTATCAGATAAAATAGAAGAGGACAATATAAATTAAAGTGTTAAAAGTAATTTTACTCAATTATCAATAAGTCTTCTTAAAATTTCAAATGTTTTTCCTGAATCCCAAAAAATAATTTTAATTTAACTCCTAATAAAAAAAACTTTTAGTTTCCTACTAAAAGTTTATGTAAACTTATTAATATGCCCATCCATAAAAGATAATTCAAATCATGTATTTGATATTAAATACATTATACATCATAGATATTTTATATTAAAGTTTAAGTAGATATTCAAAATAATTTTCATCAATATTTTTAAATCCTCATGATTATGAAATAAAAATATTTCAACTTATTAAATAACATGTAACTAGAATCATTTTAAGAAATAATGCGATAATCTGTTTGCAAACTTTTTGAGAGGAAAAATTTGTTGTAGCTTGTTATTTTTACTTTATTTTAAAATATGGAACATTTCATGAATTTGCCTTTCATCCTTGAGCAGGGACCATGCTAATCTTCTTTGTATCATTCCAATTTTAGTATATGATAAACTGAGCATTATGCTGCAGAAGCAAGAATGCTTGCTATCTTTTATGTGCATTGTGTGTGTGTGTGTGTGTCTGTGTGTGTGTGTGTGTTGGAAGGAGGGCACTTGTTTGTTCTGGTCACCCAGCTAGCTTAGACATGAAATAATCACACAGAAACTGTATTAATTAAACCACTACTTGGCCCATTAGCTCTAACTTTCTATTGGCTAACTCTTATTTTAACCCATTCCTATTAATCTGTATATTGCCATGTGGCTGTGGCTTACCGGCTAAAGCTTCAGCATGTCTGACTCTGGTGGTGGCTCCATGGTGTCTGGCTCTGACTCCGCCCTTCTTCCTCCTGGAATTGAGCGTAGTTTTTCCCTGCCTACCTAACTTCTGCCCTGCTATAGGCCCAAAGCAGTTTCTTTATTTATTAATGGTAATCACAGCGCACAGAGGGGACTCCCACATCATGTGTGTGTGTGAAAACACAGAAGTTTTGAAGAGAGAGATGAATCCCTGGAGTTGGAATGGCAGGTGGTTGTGAGCTAGTTGACAGGGGTTCTGGAAACCAACCCAGACTCACTGTAGGAACAGCAATGCTCTTAACCACAAAGCCTTTTCTTTGGCATCAGAAAAGATTTTTACATTTATTTGATATGAACATGTGTTTGCCTGGGTGAGTGTTTATTCACACATGTGTGCAGGATCTCCAGACTATAAGGGAGGAGGATTGGACCCCCTGAGGTGAACACTATAAGTGGCTATGAGTTGTCATGTGGGTCTTGGGAAACGGACCCAGGGTCATCTACAAGATCCACAGGGGCCCCTAGTAGCAGAGCCTTCTCTCTAGACTACACACCCTCTTTTTTTTTTTTTAATCACAGTGACTGAATGAATGTGTCTTAAGAACTACAAAATTTTAAGAGGAACTTTGAGTGAAACATCTTCCAATTCTACTCTGTCCCCACATCTTAGTATCTCATCACCACAAATTATGGTCACCATTTCACTGATGACATTCACACAGCTGGAGAAACTTGACAGAGGGCTTAAAGTCACTTCATTTTCTGCATCTAGGAATCAGGCCCAATTATTTTGTTTTACAGTGAAAAACTCTCCACTGTATGTATGTGTATTCTTCAGTGGATAATTATCCCAGGGAAATCCCGTAGCTGATCCTGTTGGCCATTACTTGTAATGTTTCCCAAGTCATGTCTCCCCTTAAACCTCTGGAACATGATTTTGGCTTTTATGTGCTGTAAGATATTAAAGGTCATTCATGAGTTGAAATGAAGACAGAAAAGAAAGGACAAAAGGAAGAAAGAAAGGTAAGAGCGTGAGAGAAGAATTAAGGGAGAATGAGAGCGAGGTTGGAACATTCGCCTAGCCTCGATCTTGGTGATGTTCTCAGGCTTAGTGGGTAGTGGAGTCCTTCACCAGTCAGCCTCATCCCAAAGATGGAGAGGAAATTTGCCAGCAGAGAAAAGAGAGAGCTCTCAGTCAATGAAGGAAAGGACACACTGTGCTTCTTCACTTGCCAAACACCACCCGTTTGTGAATAAAGGATGGTAGGGATCTTTAAAACAATCCCCCATTCTAAGCAACGCTCCTTTCTCTGAAGTTTTCAGGGGATGAAGAAAGCTTGTCTTGGCAAAGTTTCCACTTTTGCATGATGGGAGGATACCACCTCAGCACTCTCTTTCCAGTCCCCCAGGAGGCAGCAGTTTTCTCATTAAGCTCTCAGAAGGGGGCTGCGGTTTCCTTCACCACCCTATTTATCAAATCTTTCCTTGGGCAGAAAAATCTCAACGTCCCCAGTCACCTTGAGTCTTCTCCAGAATGGAAAGAGCCTTGCTAATATCCTCCCTTGGACTTTCTGATTCCATTCACGCTGTGACATAAGGGCCTAGGGTTGTACTTTCTCTGTCAGGCCTGGCACCACGGGAGGCAGCAGTCATTAAAGTGGTCACTTACCAGCTCTCTCGCCGATGAGTAGACAGAAAGGGGTAGAGAGGGAAGCTGGCGGGCTTTGTGACAAATGATACCAGAAACTGGGGGGAAAGAGCCAGCTCCCCTGACTATCGGGGTGTAAGTGCTCCTATGTCAACACACAGTCCACAGAGTAAAAGGTAATTCGACCATTTCCTGATCGACTGTAGTTGGCGGCTGCTCTTGCACTGCATCTATTTCGGGGACCCAGTTGTATATTCTCAGATTGCCATTTTCCCTGCTTCTTTCTCTGTTAAATATTCTACAGTGTATTATCACTTCATTTTGCTTCAGTTATTTCCTCTGACAGTGGTGCGGGGCAGTCTGGGCTGGAGTCACTTCCTCTCTCAGACTCAATCTGTCTAAATGTCAAAAAGGGAAGAAAAAAAAAAGTAGAACTCTTGAAAATCCCAGCAATCTGGCATTTCTGAGGAAATATTTGATAGGTGTTGCGTTTCTGACGTTCTATTTGTGGGGGCCGGGGATGGGAGGGGAGGATAGGGGACAGTTGGGGTTGAAAATTCTGTTATATTCATGCTTAGTTGTTTCCTTGTTTCCAAAGGGATTCTATGTTCGTACTAGACCCAGACATAAAAGCAGAAACTGTGTGGACATAAAGATTTGCTTGTTTTATTTATTTCTAGGGGTTATTTTCTTTGGGGTGACCCTCCCAAACTTTTCTCACAGATCTGAGATACCTGCTAATGAATTTGGGGAAGAGCTTGCTCTACATTTTGATGAAACATACAAAAATGAGAAATGATGTTCCTCCCCTCTCTCCTCTCTCTTCTCCTCTCTTCCCCTTTTCTACCATTCTGACTTTCCTCTAGCTACCCTGCCTCCTTCCTTCTCCCTTTCCGCCTCTCTCCATGTTGAAATATTGTCAAATCTGTTGATTTAAAAGCAAATTTCAGAAAAGGCTGTATTGAAGGTTTTGCGACTTGCCTTTTGGGATGAATGCTGGCACTGAGGGTTTGCAGGCTATTTCAGACCATCCTAATTATAGGCTATCAGGAATAGAATTAGAGATGGTGTAACTAGGTCAACAGATTCCAGCGATGGCACACGGCTTTGTGGTAGGGTATCTGGGATTGATGGGGCATTTCACCTAACAGTTCTTCCATTTAGTAACATCCGAGATGCTCCGGTTTGTCCAGTAATGCTGAATAACTAACTCATGAGGTCCAGACACGGGATGTTTGAGTGGTACCACAGATTCCATAGCTATCATAGTATCAAAAATAGCTACCAGTCGTCTATTTGTTTCAGAACAGAAAACAAAAAGTCAGTACAATAAAGAAACACGCATGAGCCGTGGAAAAGAGGAGACAGGACATGGGAATGCAGGATTGAGAACACATGAAGCTTGTCAGGTACTAAGTTAAGTGTTTAATGGCCTCACTAATCACCAGCACAGCTCGGGGAGATGTCCACTACCCCATCCTAAAAGTGGAGAAATGAAGGCACAGTCAACAGCAACAACTTCCCCAAGATTACAATGCCATTAAATAACAGTGCCAGGATTCTTTTTTTTTTTTCCTCAAGGGTCCTTTTCATACGAAAGCCCACATAATCTCCATCCTCTGAACTAGGATCACAAATCTTTTTTGTTCTTTCCTGATGGATTTGCCTGTTTTCTGAAACTTGGAGCAGATTGTCAACCTTCAAAATAACTGCCCACTCATCTGGCTGGAGTGCATGGAAGGCAAAATGAAAATGTATGCTGGAGTAAGAAAAGCTTCACTGACTTCATACTCTGTGTCCCATGGACAAACACATGTTGGCAAAAATGGGGTGGCAGTCTAATATTATATATATAATATTTCAATTTAATTTAAAATACGAAGACAATGTTTTAAAAATAATTTGTAGCTATTTTGCATTTAAAGACACGACCTCCCTAGGTTGTTTTCTCTTTCTATCTAGTGAAGAAAAAAGAGAATAATATAAAGATCTCAGCCAAAATTCTACATGGTGTCTGAAAACTACTTCTGATCTAAGATATTTATTTATATTTTTCTCCATAAGTGACACACACAGACACATATACACGCACGCACGCACACAGACACTTCTGGTTTCAATACATGGTGAGTATCAACATGACTTTTACTTACTTATTTATTCATTTATGCGTTTGTGTACGTGTGTGTCTATCACTCTCCACCTTGGTTTTTGAGACAGGGTCTCTCCCTGAACCTGGTGCTCACTGATTCAACTAGATGAACTGGTCAGCAAGCTTCCAAAGCCCTCTGCTCTCACCTCCCCAGTACTAGGAAGACAAGTGCATATGGGCTACATTGAGTTTTTCACATGGGTACTGGGGATCGGAACTCAGGCCCCCATGCATTTGGGCAGCAAGAATTTGGCTGGCTGAGCCATGTTTTTTGTCCTCCAACCTGACTTTTCAATAAGGCGTCTTTCTATGTACTTTTAAATCAATGAAAGTTTCAGAATAAACATCCCTTAAGTTTGGCAGGTTTTATTAAGAACCCATGATCCTTCCCATTTTCTAATGTGGCTTATTTTTCCAGAACTGTCAGCAGTTCAGAAATGGGTTTGAAGAAGCTGATTTTTCAAGGCTTTTCCAAGAGTTTTCCAGACTCTTGCTTCTGTGCAAGTGATATCTCAGTGCAACATATACAACACTTGCCCCTAAGATTCATGGGGTCCAGGTTTATTATTTGACCCCCCTCCTGGTTCTCTTAAGTGAATTCTTCTATTAGGAGTAGAATGATCACGCAAGTCCTCCCTGACTACATTTTCAGAAGTATGGAAATAAGTGACATGGAAAGGTCTCATGAAACTTGTATAACACACACCCTTTAATGTAAACAAAACAGAAAAAGACAAGACAAAACTAGAACAGACAAGACACAATCTATAGCAAACACCTTTGATGCAGCTTGGCTATTATACAAGGAATGGGAGACAAGGGGACTACCGTGTCTTACTGCCTTTCTTTCATTATGGCTAAAGGTGCTTCCTTTGAACAGTCTTGAGGGTAACTTCTAATATCATAGCAATCTCCTTTGTTTTGT